GGCGACGGGTCTTCTTCGGGATCAGCACCATGATGATCTGGTGTGTTCGATTAGTAGAGATCGTTGCTCAGCACAAATCCACATAAATATAGTATCACAAATCTTATGATGGAGTCCAGAACAACACAGAACCACTGAATTTGCAAAGTGCATTTGCAAAGCTACAGCCATGTTGCATTGGGAAGGTGCAGGTGGAGCCTCTCCTTAGGAAAAATCAGCACGGATGCAAATTGACACAGCAAACTTCAACAATAGGTCCCCAGGTAGAAGCAGTTTCAATAAATACATCCTGTAAAAAGGGGATTTAGCTTTGCTTTCTATCCAAATGGCGACTGCTGTATCTACTACACACCGCTGGGACTGCTAGATCAGGTCTCCAGAGAAGTCTTCGGGGCGTTTCAACGTGCAGCCGAGACTCTGCGGAATGAATCGGTGCGGTTTGACCCGCTTGAGCCGGACACCAACGAACGACCCTTTTCTGACGCATTTCGTTGGCACAGATGGGTCATGGGTCGGGGAACAGCACGCCGTCGCGAGAAGGCAAAGGTTTGAAATGATTGATATAAACGTAAAAGAAGAGTTTCGATCAAGTCGGCAACATCGTGTCGTTCGAATGGACCTACGTGCTCCAACTCCAAGAAATACTCCAGTTGAACAACTCCAGCCAAATGTGCTCCCTTTGTATGTGGTGGCACTCGCGCTGTTGGCACAGGTGAAACCTTGCGGCCATCGTTCAGATGCTCGCAGAAGCATGGCCAAAGCCATGTTGAATCATGACGTGTGATCTTTGATCCGGTGACAAAGCACTGTCCTTCCGGCGCAAGTCCTGCGGATCCTAGATCGGTTGAAAACAGACTTGGGCTTAGACTGATTTCACCACCAATTGAATCCGTGAACACCACAATGAAGGGTGCTCTCTATGAAGAGACTAAAGTTGATGAACAAAACCCATCTCTGCCCGCCAGAACATATCACTGTCACTCTCCAACAAAAAACTATCTGTGCAGCCAGTTGAGTTGACAACAAATCAGCTCATCCCGGGTTTTTGCTGGATCACTTCTTTTAATCGATCCTTCAGCTTCACTTCGTCAGCTCCAACGAGCTCTTCACCCACCTGCACTCTCGAGCAGTGGTGTGCTCCGTCTCCGGTCGTGGGGAGCGCACACGAACTGACGGTCGAGATGGGCACTTCGCGTCGTGTGGAACGAGAGCGAGACCGGATGACCATGACCACCAGAATCACGAAGGACTGCGAAGGTATGAACAGGTTGTAATTAGGAGTCTTAGGTGAGGTGATTCAGTGAAGATAGTTCATTGCTGTATATTGCTGTATGCATTTTCCTAGGCCGACTGCCAGAGTTCTGGCAAGATCATTGGATATCCCTTCCGGATCCTTCCGGCATAAATGCCATCCATAGATTCTCGATCATCAGCGGGTGTTCTGCATGATCTGCTGCGTGGCGATGACATGGGGCCATGTGGTCCCATGTCATGCGAAACTGAACGGCACGTTGGGCCCATTGGGTGGTCGACTGAGACTCTGAGACGTCGTCATGGTTCTTTTTTCGATGTCCAACTTCTGACATGTTCCGTCAGTTCCTTCAATGCCAATCTGAACAAATCTAGTGCTGACACATCAGTTTGCCCACCCGACTCGATTCGTAAAAAGGAAAGGATGTCAGAAGTAGACTTTAGACCCACTCACCACTGAGGTCCAACATACTAAAACCAGCCACCAGCACCGTGGCACCGATCCGCCCCACTCCCAAATCCGTGCTCCGTTTGACAGACACCGCCTGAGCATCTCCACGGAAGATCTGGAAGGTGGGCACCGCATCGATGCCAGCCGCATCGGCAATCTCCTCGGTCCGCTTTCTCACCGGACGCCGGACCCCTCGGTCTTCGAGGACGAGGTGGGACGAAGGAGCTTCTCTTGCAACGAGAACCGCTCGGGTGACACCTCCTGAAGATGATGTGTGCTGATTTGAACTTCAGGACTCACTTGGTATTGCATGTTCTGAAAGTGTGCAAATGATGTTTTGGGGGGTTGAGATCCACTACATCTCTTTTGAGTCTCCCTCTTCTCACAAATCTCATGATATGATGCTCGTATCATGTACATGCATGTAAAGACCTTGATACACACAGGAAACCAGGATTTAATGAGAAGGGATAAACTTGTAGTTTGGGGTTTGTTCAGTGTGGCTTGTCTTCGCTAATCATGGTCATTTGATGGATTGTCCTAGTGAACAATTGCCTTGCGAGAGTGTTATCTTCACTTCTTGCTTGCAATTTGTGAAAGTTGACGCGTTTGCTTGTGAAACTAGTTGTGAAAATGTTCTTCTTGTGTTTGTTTGAGTGCTCAAATGCATTCAAAGGCTCTTTTGGTTTGCTTGTTTGCCTTTTGTTGGCCCTTTTTGTATCTTGTATTGCCTTTGTGTGTTTGCGTTGCCTTTGTTTTTCTTGTTCTGATTTGCCTTCTTAACGCCGCCTTTCTGTAAATCTGAAACCATGCCCTCTCTCCCTCTCTCATGAAGCTTTCTTTTGAATATGATAGATCAACATCTACATGAACGGCTGGGGACTCCAATCCCTTGGCCCGCTGGGCAGGTATTGGGTTCATCTTCCTTCGGTGCATCTTCCCCCAAATGAGCGGACCCAGCCGGGGGGACCGGACGGTTGACCACCCCAAAGGAACAGAAGAGGAAGTGGATGGCATAGGCGATCTGCGAACAGTGTGAACACATGCGAACACCTCTTCGTCTTAGTGGGTGGGAGAGTAATTACCAGGGCATATGAGCCTTCCAGGGTTGGGTGGCAAAGGCTTTGACACACTGCCACTCACGACTGTCCGTTTCGTCCACGCCCAAGTCTGTCTCCTCAGCTTCATCCACATCGACCGTGACGAACTCGATATTGACGAATTCCTAAGTAACTGGGGATGACGAGTTCCTCGCAGCAAATGACAAAATGGATTGTTCGTTCGCGTGTCGCCCTTGATGAGTTCCGTCGGAAGGCGAGTTCTTCCGCGCGTCGAAGTAGCTACATTTACCGTGGTCACACGGTGGAGGGGTCGACTTTGCGGAGCACACAAAAACAAACACCTTCCATCCTCAAGCAACCAAAATGAATTCGCAAAAACTACTGGAAATTCATATTGCAACATGTACAGCGCGACCCATTCGCACTTCCTGCCACAGCTGCGTGTTTGTCGAGGATCGATCCATTTAGGTTCGAGATGAAAGCGTGTCGGTCGTCGATGGGACATCTTTTCTCCAAACAATCGAACACAAATAGCACAACGACACTATGAACGGATGGTCCGGCCTCAAGTAAACAGAATCGGTTAATACGATGGTGTCCGCAAAGCATAATATAATATACATATATAATATGGTACCAATATATGTGCACAGCACATGTAAATATGACTATATAAATGATACTAAATGTGTATTTGAATATACGTAAATATGCAATGGCTCTCCAATGAAAAGAGAATTGCAAATTGGAACCAAATAAACCAAGTATAGTATAGGTCCAGGTGGCAAGGAGATCTCTTTTGGAACAGTGTGGGGATGGGTCAAAGTTTTCAGGATGTGTAAGTAAGAGACAATTTCAGCTCATATTCGGTGAGCCAAGCCACCGGCATGTTGGCCAACTCTGCATACTTGGGTGCCATCAAATGGCAAGGCTGACACCAGCTGGCAGAGAAGTAAAAGACCACCAGCCTCGGACAGGAATTCCAGCAGTTTTGGTCAGTGTCTATGCCAAAGTCTAAACTCATGCCTTCCTGCTCCTGCATAACCTACCATTTCAGCGATTAAACAGGGTGCTGCACCCACGTTTTTTGTTGGCACGACTGTCGGCTGGGACCGCGGCTTTTCCAGCTTCAAACAACCGTCAAACTCTGTCTTCTTGCTAATGGTTTTCACCAAAGCCATGGCGAGAGTTTTCTCGACAAAACAGAAAGAGAGAGAGAGATTGTTCTTTGGGGGCTGGTTCTATATTGGTTGGAGGTGTGTTCATCTCTTTGGATCTACAGTGGGCCTGTTTGTGTGGAACGATGGGAATATATAATTATATACACGTCTGTGAAGTCTGCTATTTTTGCGTCATGTGAAGTCGAATCATGGGCTCCAACTGAGCCGAAAACAGCCACTGCAACGCGGTCACCGTTGCGGTCGGTCACTGACGGTTTGAAACCGTTTCGGTGAATCGGGGGTTTCCGAATTGGATCTGCAGATATCTCAGCTGCAGCTGCTCTGTTCTCCTTCAGTACAGCGCTGCTCTGTTTTCCTTGCTAACTCCAGACCTCTCTCTGGTCATCCAGCATCCAGCCACGTCAAAGATCATCCGGAAGCTGCACGTGAAACAAGCAAAGCATCACGCAAAGACGAGGCGGTTCAGAGGGACGGAGTCGGACAAATGGCCATGCTAGAACTTGGAATCGAAAGATGCCAACTGGCTCCTTTGATCTTTTTGTTGCCTAGTCATACCTAGTCTGCAGCTGAAAAAGGCCTGATCCACCGAATGGACGTGACCGCTAGTCATCCACATATGTGTTCGATGCTTCCCCTAGTAACCTGCATGTACAATCCGGATGGACCTTAGCACGAGCCACTTGGACCTTCGGTTCCTGGCCTTTAGAAGCTGGATGATCGGGGTATCCTTGCTGTAGCCACGGCGATCACGCTGTGGTCGACTTGGCGAGGAGCGAGTTCATGAACGCATGAAACGCGGCGGAGGATAGAGGGATGGCAGCGCGTTTTTGGGGGGTTTTGAGGAGGGCCAGTTCATGGGCCAACCCCTTTCTAGTGCTCAAGCAATGGGGGGACAGTTCCCTCTTGCAGTGTGGTAGATGAGTAAAAAGCAGCCTCTCTTCAAAGCAATTCACTATACAAATCACTTTTGAACTTGGCTGAGGCTCAGACTCGTCCGACATCTGACTGGCATTCAGGCTGTACGCAAGGACCTCTACTTCCCGTGCTCAAGACGAATGTGCAGCGGTATGTCGTGATCAACCGTGGCAGACTTCTTTCTTGGTTGACCATACCGGCCATACCAAGGCCTCTTTCATCCTCTTTCTATGTCTTTCTGCATCTCTACTGGCCGCAAGGCCGCGAGGCTCCGGCATTTTTGCTCGAATGCCACCTGTGGGCAGAAGGTCGATAACAATTGATATTCCCTTCATGATCTCTTCAGCTGCCGCAGTCGTGGACACCAGTCTTCAGTCTTCGGTGAACAAACGCGGCCTCAACTGCGTCACCGTTGCAGGTGTCAGGTCCTGGTAATACCTAAGCTCATCATAGCTCATGCATCGTACTTCCGTGTCAAAGAAACTTACAGGTCATGGCGGGATAGCAGTGTTGGCTCCCATCAGCGTCAAACTTCGCTCGCCTGCGAGGCATGGAGGGTTTGCGAAAACGTGGCCAACACGTGGCCAATGATGAGGCTCAGTGGCCTGCACCAGTACCCCAAGCAATCAAACTGCCCTGGTAGTTGAAGTCCACGTTGGAAATAACCTAAAACAAGTTGGTGAACCGAGAACTTCACTGGCTTTTGCTCACATGTTTGATGCGAAATAGCAAAATGCCTCAAAAGTCAGCCGAGTGGTCCCTCAGCTTGCGACTTGCCCCGGATGCAAGAAGCATCTCAAGCACAGCGGCTGCCTGGGTTCCTGGAGGGATGGCAGTGGAGGTTCACCCAGCCACGGGCCGATTGGTCTTTGCTGCGTATTTGTTCCTTCGGGGAAACGGAAATGCCCAAACGATCGGTCCCACGCCAGAGCCTTCTCAGAAACGGTGAAACACGCTAAGCGCACGGCCCAAACCGTGATGAGACCATCAGCTCCACCACTGCAGATGTATTTGCCTCGGAGACTCCCGTTCTGACTCCCGCCCAACAGCTGTCTCTGGACTGGACTGTTCCTCCCCACTGAAAACACCGCGGAAACGGATCTGATCCCTGTCACGGGAGGACACCGGTCATGACCGGTGTGCGACGTGTCCACCCGACCGTCATCGACGCTCGGAGCGGGCGATGATGCCCCCCGCCGAGATCCATGACCGGGAAAAAGCGGGTTGACAAACGGACGCTTACTAGGTGGAGGCCATCGCTATTAGGTTGGAGACCATCGCTACTAGGAACAAGAAGCTAGTAAGCTCGGTGCCTTGACCAACTATCTGGAACCAGTTCACTGAAGTCCAAAGCACGAAGGACGACAAAAAGGCGTTTTGGACCCATTCCCCTGCCTGTGGGGTCACGCGCCAAGGAGATGGCCGTCTTAGCCGCACGATTTGGGTGGCATGCTGGTGTCACACAAGGTGTCACACGGCTTCAAACGGTTTCCACGGCTTTGCCCGTGTGAATCAAAAGGACCAGTTCTTGGTCTCTACAAGGCCACCTTTTTGCTGGCCAGGCCACCCAGTTGTGCGCCACAACCTCAGGGATCCAGAGGTAAAAGATCGTAAAAACACGTTGGAATTCGTGATCACAAACGTCTGGATCTTGAGGCCCTGGCACTTCGTTCGGGTGTCTGCAAAGAGTTTGAGGGGAAAATTTGCAGCTTGCCTCGCAGGCAGAATTCTGGTTGTTGGAGCAGGCCACTGTATAATACTGTATAATCTTCAACCCATTCCAGGCTTTTTTGGGGCAAGGACTCCCTGTCCCTAGCTTTTTGATGCTTTTTGTGGGCTTGAGCCCTGGCACCGGCTGCGCCTGGAGTACCTCCAGTCGCCACCCAAAGGCTATCACCTGATGGACTGTAGACCATTTGGTTCACCTGAGACCGTGCGGCCCACCGCGGCTCATCAAAGATTGGCTTTTTAGGATGTCATGAAAACGAACCCACTGAAATCATCAATTGTTTTGTGTTGATGTTCCCGCCTCTATGTTCATGTTCATTTTGGAGGAACCTGAAACACAGTCGGCATGTATATATGATCACATCTACAACGTTCAAGAGAAAGAAAAAACATGTCTTCCAGTCGTAGTCAAGTCAAAGGAATTCACCCACCCGCCGAGCGCGCCTAGTCGAAGGGAGTTGTTCTCTTTGGCTTTGACCATTTTTAAATGGAGGCAATAGATATGATCGGCCCCTCGGGGACAGCACAAACCCACCACGTACGTCGCGCCGGTGTGAGACATCTCATCCCTTTTCGATGTGAGAAGACTGGAACTGGTCCAGTGAGAAATTCTATGAAATTCTGCAATCGGTGGAATCGGTGGAATCAGAAGGTCCCACATGCTGATCCCGGCCACTCACGTCACACATCGATTCCTTTTTGGCTTTTTCAGAACCAACGAAGCGTCTGCATCGCTCGATGAATCTCGTTCAGAACGACGGAACGACGCTCAGCTGCTGACGATTGCTCAGGGCAATATTCGTGGAGTCTGGGGACCAGCATAAATACAGAAAGTCCTGGAAGATCGGCAGAAACTGTTCAAACACAAAATCCGTTCGAAATTGAGAAATGGGGTGGTGGAATTGGAGAAAGTCCTGCAGGATTCTGCAGGATTGTTGAAGTTTAAGATGTTTTATCTTGGGACTCTCGTCCCCGCTTGACAGTGGGGCCATGAGGAAACCTGCACCAATCCATTTGGACCACAGGGTCTAATCTACACAGCTAAGAAGTCCTTTCCGGCAAGGTCATGAAGAACATTGCTCTCTTTTTCATTGCATGTGTGAGTTGTTGTTGGCTACCTCTTATGTATCTCTATAATTACATTAAGACCAAAATTATCTATAAATAAATTAAATATATATGGTGGTTGTCCAATATTCTTGTTTATTGAAACGGCCATTCTTCGCGAAAAAAAACATTAACATTCGCGAAACTTTCGCGAACCCTGTGTTTTTCTTTCGCGGGGGTTCACCATGTCATGAAACCATTTAACCTGGTAGGGACTCGATTTCTAAATACAGTTTGTGGGGTTGCTATGGGCTACGGGGTTCCTCTGGAGCCGATTCATTCGCCGAAACCTTCGCCAGACTTTCGCGAAACTTTCGCGAAATAATCCCTGTGCTTTGGAGGTTTTTACGGCATACATAACATAGGGTGGACTACAGGAAGGAAGTATCACACGGATTCCAAAGTTGAAGCTGCTGACGGTCAGAAAAGGATGTGGTTATGCATGGGGCAAGCCTGAAGGCTCACCAAAGAACATACAATAAAAATTCATACTTTCGCGAATCTTTCGCGAAAAAACCATTAACATTCGCGAACTCGAAAAAAAACTTTCGCGAGACCCACGATCATGTCATCCAAGGCTCTCGACATTAAAGACCCTTACAAGAAGGACCTTTTGGATAACTCCCATATATATAATCACAGTATATATAATATATAGTGTGGTTTGCGCAAAAACTCAGCAGCTCCTTCATAGACGGGGACGTCTTCTTGAGGTCAACATCGAAGACTGACTGGCCTGGAAACGAGGATTTAGGAAGGCCTGTACTAAGACTGGCCAAGGAATTCTGTTCCAAAGCACCTTTGGCAAGCCGCAACATCACTGCTGAGCCTCTGACTTGCATGCCTTGTGTCAAAGAGCTTGAACCTCAAGGAGACCAACTGGATGAAATGCAAACACCAGGAGTTCTGCCAGATCTGGCTACAAAATTAGCGTCCGATAATATATACTGCAATGGTAAAAGTAGTGTGTCAGTGTGTCAGAGAAAATATCTGGTAAGCGCAAATCACCAAGCCACTTGCTCAAAAACAGTTGATGCAAAATGATGCAATCCTAAGACCTCCATGTCACAAAAACAGGAAGAATGTTTTTTTGATGAAAAACGTAGCAAATATGAAAAATGGAACATGTCCTTTACAAACAAAGTTAGAAGATTTGTAGAAGACACATAAACCAAAGCAGTCATGGTGAAAGTTGGAAGACCGGGAAAGACATGTTGAAGTCAATAAATGACATTTTCCCTGTCAGGCGTTCTTTTGCACATGTTTCTTCTCTGGTGAGTCAAAACCATAGCGCTGGAGGGTGCTTTGTGTGGACAGTCTAGAGACTCGCCTTGAAATCCTCAAAATTATTCAAATGAATGGCTATGAAACGCTGTTTGGCTTCGTTTCGACGCTCTCAGCCAGGCTATGAAACTTGGTTTAGTCATTGATGGCACAATGTTCTCTCCGGGGAATGTCCGCTACATGCTTTTCGCGAATTGCATTCAAAGTTGCAATTCCACACTTATTGTGTGCGGATCAAGTAATTAAGCTCGAACTCCGAAGCTGGGATCAAGTCTTTAAAGGCTTCTGGCAACTGAATTGGTTTGATACGCCTCAAGTGGAACATGCACTCTTGCAAGATCTTGCAAGTGTGCATCGGGCCAGGCATCTTCACCAGTATTCCAAGCATTATGAGCTCCAAGCGGCGGTTATATAATTTATATAGTATCGATGAGTACACTCATGACATGATGCGCTTGGAAAATGTATGGAAGGACACCACAAACACTCCAAATTCCCAAAAAAGTAGCCTGCGCCCCTCAAAAAAAGAACGGTGAAACAAAAAAACATGAAAAACAAATAATTGTCCCCTGGTTGGTATCCTACAGCACTCCATCAGGCCTTCAGAAGTGGGGAAACTAAAGTACCTTAAGCTTCCTTAAGCCTTCCTTAAGCCCAGTGTTTTCCTGTCAAAACTGAGATCGAATTCGTCGGATCTGAGGGTGCCACTTGCCTCTCCAATCAACGCCAGCTGCTAGAAAGGGGTTGTTTGGATCCGTCCGAATGCTCATCCACCTTGTTCAAACCCCCATGTGCAAAGCCCCGAGTCGCTCATCCATTTTGGGCAAAGAAGAACGGGTATCTGAGTATCTGCTTGCATTTCATCTTATTCTCATTTGATCCATCCTCCTTTTCCCGAGTCGCTCAGCCCCATGTCTTCACTCAGTCGCAGGCTCTCCAGACCACGTCCGCTCCTCCTCACCTGGCCGGCGCGACCAGGTCTGAACGACAACGTCTGCTTCCAATCACCATCACAGTGCCTAAGACCGATGTGTTCGTTTGAAGTACTTACTTCAAATATATACAGTATATATATATATACTGTAAGTTGGTCCTCTATAGGACCATAGGATGAGTCAGATTTGAGAAATGCACTGCTACCATAAGTCATGCAGTCATGAATGCACCCTTTCTGCCTGGAAGCTGCAAGCTACTTTTGTTTGTTCCTTTCGATAGGACGATCCATCCTTAGACCTTCGAAACGCTTGTGGGAGGGGCTGCGAAAACTGCCAGAAGTGGGGGCACTTCCAGAACCCATAGTGCCAAATGATTCAGGTCAACCCAAAACGAACCCCTACCCCCCGCCGTCTGCGCGGGCCGTCTGGTTAAGTCAGGCCTCTTTCGACGTCGTGCAAACGAAGGCCAGGACCTGACCCGCTCCAGGAATGATTCAATGACTGTGTGAAGAAAATGACTTCGTGACTTCTTCCCCGTGACTTCGATGATACACCCATGTGGCCCACCCATGTGGCCCATCGTGACTCATGACCCATGCCAAACATCGTCAGACTCCATCCAGGTGACACCTCCGGAACACACAAACCGCTGCGACCCAGACCCGTCGGGTTCCCAGGCCTTCTTTCGCTGCGACCAAGAGCTTGTCACCTCGGGTTTCACCGGACCGGCCGGTCGAACGAGCGGTGGTCGAACGAGCGGTTGGCCTGCCCAATCCATGGCATAGACGCCAGAGCGCTTGAAGCCCCTGACATAGTCCTTCTTCACCTTGGCAGATGCAAGGCCAAACTGGTCAGATGTAGGCGGAAGAAGACACCAAACCTGAAGCAAATAACCAAGGCAAGGACCTCGTTTTCAGCCTGGCAAGTTCGGCAGGACTTGTGCAACCCTTCTGCTGCCTTCAGAAGGCCTTCATCCCGATCATTTCAAGAACTGCTACACTGACTCCCTCAGTTTCCCTGGAAAATATTACAGGTTAACCTTTTTCCATCTGTTATTTGAAACCAATGCCCAAAAAATGTCTTGCAGGTTATCCACTTTTCCTGGGTAGCTTTATGGCATATGTCGCCCATCAAGAAGCCTACCACACTCACTCTACCAATCTCTACCACATACCACCACTCTACCAGTCTACCAGCCACTTCTGACCAGCCCAGGTAATCACCAGCTCGACTTTCCTCAGACCATTTTTGATGGCCTCTACCAGCTAGAAAGCTACTGGCTGGCTACCGGCTCGTGATCCGTGCTTTTTTCGTTTCCGCCGTCAGGTCTCCAGCTGAAAGCCGTGAAAGAGGGCCACACACGGCCCGGCATTCATCCCGTTGGACCCGAAGTGGGGATTGCCTGGCACAGCCCACGGCGGTCGGGCGGGTCCGAGGACCACGGGTGGTGGGAAACGAACAAAGGGAGTTGAAACGAGTTGAAACTGACTGGAGAACGTGAAAACACATGACATACAATGGACATGTTACATGTTCGCTTCACAACCCGCGAAAGACACCTCCCCAGAAGAGCATCACGTCTCCCGCCCTGCACATTGCAATGCTGGTACTTGGGCTCGCAAGCCAAGCAGCATGCTCCTCACAGAAAAAGGTGGACCAACCAAACCCGTCCGAAAAACCAAAGACCGAAGCGATTCCAAATACATCCAGAAGACCACCGAAGCGATCCCCTTTGTGAGATTCTTTGTAGGAGTTTTTCATATAGTTGTTCGACAGAGCTATGTAAAATGGCCAACGATCTTCAGGTCACACTGGAAAGTCACCTTGCCTGCATGCTCAGTGAGGTGACCATAGCTGTACTACCATGTGATGCTCGTCCCCACAAGTCGAGTTCACGTGTGCATTGGCTGCATGTGTAATTGGCCGGCGTGTGTATGTGCACGACACGCATTGAAGCCTGGTCCAGATCTATGTCAACCGGCAGGGCCACCTGCAGCAAGTTTGCAACAATTCAGAAGGTGACCTAGAGTTCACCTCCTCAGTGTTCTCTAAGTCTCTGGGAAATGCACAGGCGCTTGGAAAGTGTACCTTCTCTCGGAGCCTCAGACTCAAAGGTCTCCAGTGCTGTGCTACATCTACGACTGTCTACCGGCTAGGCTGGTCAGAAAACAAATATATAGCTTATAGCTCACTACTCTGCATTCATCACGCAAACTTTCACACCTGTTACAGTGTTCCACACACGATTAGTGTGTGTATATATATATATATAACAGAAATGGTTGCAAGGACACTCGCCGAACCTGCAGCCCTACAGGGTTGCGAAGCTGCAAGCCCCACATGCCTCATGTTCATCATATTATGATCATCCCCAACCATGTGCACCCTAATATCCTCCAACTCCCCAAGGTGTCCTTTTGCAGAGACACTTGAGTATTCCTCACATGATCATTTGAATCATATGCCATCGACCCACTTCAAACGACCCTGCCTCGGCATCAGTAGACGATGATCCCCCTCCTTGTCTGCACAACGGCGGCCAAGTTAGCCAATGACAGAGGAAGCACCGCTTCGATATTAAAACAGCTTCAGCTTTCAAACACCTGGGAGTTGCTTTCTGGTCTAGGAGCCTACTTTCCGCATTTTAGACAGTATGGTGCTAGAATGTGCTATGGGTATATACTCGTCCAGTCCGGTCCAGTCCGGAAGCACCGCATTCCGAGTCTCTGGTCACCCAGGGCTTCACCTCGCCGCTGCTGTCCACACCGAAGATCTGAGAATCGCGTTCGATCACGACGGCGTTGGTTTGGATCACGTCGGTCGGAGTTCCCCGGCCGTTTTGGACGTTTTGGACATCATGTTTTCCTCGTTTTTGCCGTGTCTTTCTTTTTTCTGGGTGGATGTTGAATGGTTTTTTCAAAGGCAACAGTGAGTGGAGTATAGTGGAGTGACATGGATGTGCTCTTAGTGGATATGCGTCGTCGATGCTCATACTGTAGACACCATCCGTGACGAAAAGGCACATACAACAGGTTCCTCTCAAATCATCGCTGTCACCCGTTGGCCATCGAAATCAATACATCCAAACTTGAATCCAGCCACTGAATGTTCCGCCCACGCGAGTCTCGGGTTTTTGGTCTCGGTGCGAAGTACTGCTGTGGAAGCCACCGTTCACACGCCAGTCGTCACAGGTCTCGGTCGGCTCGGGCCTTGATCCCATGCACCACGTGGCACATTTGCACCATGGGCGCGGAGTCCTGCGGGTGGGAAATGGAGCGCGGTGGGAACGATCCGGCTCGGATTCTCTACACTGTTTCAGGTTCCATTGCCAGCCGCTCGCTGGCCGGTCTTGGAGGAATCACAGTAGGAACGACTCCAAGTGTGGCTTCCCAACAACTCCAACTGAGCAAAAATGTATCCGAAAGAGCCCTGGACAGTCCACATGTACATGGGACGCAGAGCCGCCGTCGCCGGCAAAGACCTCGAGCCGAGGACGTCCAGTGGACCGTGATGGACCGTGTAGAAATAGGAGAATCCCCCGTCCAAGACTGCTCGAAAGAAACAACACGGCAGTGAAAAAACCGCAAGCGCGGCATGTGTGCACGTTTGACTCTGTTCCCTGGAAAACACGAGCCTTGGTTGGAGGGTCTCCCTGTTCTGTCTAACACATCCATCATCCACAGTCTTCTTCTTCTTCTCAAGGCCCCAAACTGCTCGTGTGCCACACATGATCTCCCACTTCACCCAGATCCCTTACGAACACCCCAGCAGGAGCGGAGTCGAAACCAATGTTGACTCATGCCATGGGTTCGACCGCTTTCTTGCGGAACCCGCACTCACCAATTGTGGAAACTGATCTCAAACAGCAGAAAAGCAACGAGCGATCTTGCTGCGTTTGATTCAGTTCATCAAGTGCGCCTGTGGCAGCTCATCGCTCATCTTCGCCCGATCCTTCAGCAACCTCATCTCCAAGGGGGCGTCCAACAAGCTGCTCCATTCACCACTTGTCAGCTGAAGGAACTTGGAGGATGTGCGTGTGTCAAACCCTGTCCCTAAGGGCTTTCCATGTTTTCAAAGCAGGGGCGTACGGCTCGTCATACCCACCGTACGCAATGAAGCTACGGTATGACGAGGGAGGGGTGGACTGATCATCCACCTGTACCTGCTTCAACGGTTGAGTACGCTGTTCCAATCCTTCTGTTTTGATTCCATGGTGGTTCATGATACGTCCCCCAAACCTTTTTTTCCCCACCGCTTGTGTGTCAGATTGCAAACATTGTTCAACCATACGGTTCTCGCCGACCTTTTCGCCTTGCCGTTCCCTCACCATTTTCGACCTGGGAATTGAGCTAACTGAAAACCAATGTCAAAGTGTGAACCGCTCAGCCGTCCCACTTGGGTGCTGGGTGTGATCCCCGTGACAGGGGCGCTGAATTCACTCCGGAAATCGTGTAACGGATTTACTTCGTCCACTGCACCTTGTCTTCCACCTTTTCATAACTGAATCAACTGATTCAAGAGCCGTCGGGCTTGCACGACATGATACCACAGCCGCCGGGCTAAAAAACGGAATTCCACTTGAGGTCAGGCATGCCATGTTTCCCAACCCCCCTCCCTCCCCGCCGAGTTCTACTCCCTACCTAATTAGGGTAACAGAGGGAAATGGTACTCGGCACACTTGTGTGTGTCGGTGCCTTTCCCTCTGTTGTCCCTTTTCTAGTCTTCTCTACCCGGGCGGTTTAAGACTAAAGTCCCGCTCCCTAACTATTGCACTTAATTCTTTTCTGCTAAGTAATCAGTAACTCTAGAGTGCTAAGTATTCAGACACACACATGTACACACACATGGACATACACCCCCTCCCTGCCCCCCCACTTTCCTTCTTGCGCTTTTCGTCGTTTGTTGGGCTTTCTCTCGCTTTTTAGGTTGCTCTTGAGGCTCGTTTCCCTACCCCAGTCAAGGGCTAAGTATTCACTTTTTTCTACTCCTACCTTTCTCTCTTGCCCTCTTAGCGCTGCTCTTTCTGTGTTTCGTTCTTTTGCTTCTAAGGCTTTTTAGGTACCTATTCAGGTCGTTCGCACGAGCGCCGCAAAGCGGCACCGTGCGTGTGTCAAACCCTGTCCCTAAGGGCTTTCCATGTTTTCACGGCTCGTCATACCCACCGCACGCAATGAAGCTACGGTATGACGAGGGAGGGGTGGACTGATCATCCACCTGTACCTGCTTCAACGGTTGAGTACGCTGTTCCAATCCTTCTGTTTTGATTCCATGGTGGTTCATGATACGTCCCCCAAACCTTTTTCTCGCGCTTGTGTGTCAGATTGCAAACATTGTTCAACCATACAGTTTTCGCCGACCTTTTCGCCTTGCCGTTCCCTCACCATTTTCGACCTGGGAATTGAGCTAACTGAAAACCAATGTCAAAGTGTGTCTGTTTCTTTATGTTTCATGCAGGGTGAGGTTCCAACATGTTCAAGGATCCTTTTGGCGCCCCAGTCGGACGTTTGCCGAAGGTGGCTCAACAAACCGGCACTCATCCGCCACATATTCCTGATTTCCGTGCGGAAGTGGGTGATTGGCGAACACTAAAAGTTTGGAGCAACGGAACTAGTAGCTGGGGCTTGGCTCAAACAAGAACCACCCGCCAAACCCACATGTGTCGCCAGTTTGATCCACCGATCCACCTGGACGCTTTGGAATGAAGACCCCAAAGAGTGCCCGAATCCCACCCCCAAAGTGGGAGGGAAAGGTAAGTTTATGGCTATACTGATGAAGGGAATCAGTATCATCCCGAGACAAACCTTCAGACATCTTCAAACCTCCCTTGTTCCCTCTCGCCCACGATGCGTCTTCCAAAAACCCAATCGCAAGCCACGCGGAGATCTGCGGCAGCAAGTCTTCCACGGCCTCTGTGGCCT